ACCCAACCTCTAACCCTACACCCAACCCGACCTCTAACCCTACACCCAACCTCTAACCCTACACCCAACCCGACCTCTGACCCTACACCCAACCTCTAACCCTACACCCAACCCGACCTCTGACCCTACACCCAACCTCTAACCCTACACCCAACCCGACCTCTAACCCTACACCCAACCTCTAACCCTACACCCAACCCGACCTCTGACCCTACACCCAACCTCTAACCCTACACCCAACCCAACCTCTAACCCTACACCCAACCTCTAACCCTACACCCAACCCGACCTCTAACCCTACACCCAACCTCTAACCCTACACCCAACCTCTAACCCTACACCCAACCTCTAACCCTACACCCAACCCAACCTCTAACCCTACACCCAACCCGACCTCTAACCCTACACCCAACCTCTAACCCTACACCCAACCTCTAACCCTACACCCAACCTCTAACCCTACACCCAACCTCTAACCCTACACCCAACCTCTAACCCTACACCCAACCCAACCCCTAACCCTACACCCAACCCGACCTCTAACCCTACACCCAACCTCTAACCCTACACCCAACCTCTAACCCTACACCCAACCTCTAACCCTACACCCAACCTCTAACCCTACACCCAACCTCTAACCCTACACCCAACCTCTAACCCTACACCCAACCTCTAACCCTACACCCAACCTCTAACCCTACACCCAACCCGACCTCTAACCCTACACCCAACCCGACCTCTAACCCTACACCCAACCCGACCTCTGACCCTACACCCAACCCGACCTCTAACCCTACACCCAACCCGACCTCTGACCCTACACCCAACCCGACCTCTAACCCTACACCCAACCCGACCTCTGACCCTACACCCAACCCGACCTCTAACCCTACACCCAACCCGACCTCTAACCCTACACCCAACCCGACCTCTAACCCTACACCCAACCCGACCTCTAACCCTACACCCAACCCGACCTCTAACCCTACACCCAACCCGACCTCTAACCCTACACCCAACCCAACCTCTAACCCTACACCCAACCCGACCTCTAACCCTACACCCAACCCGACCTCTAACCCTACACCCAACCTGACCTCTAACCCTACACCCAACCTGACCTCTAACGCTACCACCAACCCGACCTCTAACCCTACCACCAACCCGACCTCTAACCCTACCACCAACCCGACCTCTAACCCTTGGGGTTTATATTAGGGGTGTGGTTTAAGGTTGGCACTAGTGTTGGGGGTTGGGATTAGTATTAGGGTCATAGTTTGGGTTATTCTGGCACAAGAATGGGTCCTCTTGGACTACTATTCCCGCTCCCTACTTTAAGGGAGGGGGGGGGG